TTGTGAATGATAGCTTTTTTTTTTTGGTTTTCTTTTTTTTTTTTTTTTTTTTTGCTATAGGGCTCACGCACTCACTAGAAAGACAGACAGAAAATTACACTGCGAGGAACCAGCAGTTAGCGTAATGGCTATGTCGCTGGACTCCCATGTAGTCGACCGCGGTTTGCGTCCCGGACCTGGTGGCTTAAAACTCACGCCAGGCGCGTGTGCGTGCGTGCCCAAGATCCTGAGAGGAGAACGGAGGAGAAGGGATTGCGGCGTGACCATCCTCCCTGGGGGGTGATTTCTCACTTTCTGTCTCTGTCTTTCTGGCAAGTGCATGCGCCCTATAGCAAAAAAAAAAAAAAAAAAAAGGAAATTACACTGTGGTGGGGGTAACCATACAATCCTTTCTCCTCCATTCTCCTCTTGGGATCTTCAGCACATATGCACAAGCACCCACTAGGTGCAGGACTCAAACCAGTCATATAACATGTACCAATTACACCACCTGCTGGACTCCCACGGTTAGCTGTTTTTTTTTTTTTGGTGAGATGTTTTTGCTATAGGGCGCATGCACTTGCCAGAAAGACAGAGACAGAAAGTGAGAAATCACCCCCCCCAGGGGAGATGGCCATGCCACAATCCCTTCTCTTCCATTTTCCTCTTGGGATCTTGGACATGCACGCACACGTGCCCGGCGTGAGCTTAAGCCACCGGGTCCAGGATACGAACCGCGGTTGATAACATGGGAGCCCAGCGACATAGCCATTATGCTAACTGCTGGTCCCTCTGATAATTAGCTTGTTGACAGTTAGGAAAGCAGGGCTCTGGGAGCACACACACAGGAAGACAGGGTTGCCAGATATAATGCAAGATACTCAGTTAAATTTGATTTTGGATTAACCATGAATCACTTTTAAAAATTATTTTATTTTACTTTATTCATTATTATTTTCCAGTTTGATCAGAGAGACAGAGAGAGAGAGAGAGAGAGAGAGAGGTGTGAAGTGAGAAAGCAAGCTACCAGGTCCGAGACTTGAACCGTGTTCGGCCATGTGGGAGTCTAGCACCTTTAACCACCATACCACTTGCCAGCCCCACCATGAATCACTTTTTCAAATATTCTTTTTCGTTTTACTAAGAATTATTTTTATTTTGGGACCAGCAGTTGGTGTAATAGCTATGTTGCTGGACTCCCATGCCATGTAGTCGACTATGGTTCGCGTCCCGGACATGATGGCTTAAATGCATGCTGGGCATGTGTGCGTGTGTGCCCAAGATCTCGAGAGAAGAATGGAGAAGGGATTGTGGTGTGGTCATCCCACCGGATGGTGATTTCTTGCTTTCTGTCTCTGTCTTTCTGGAGAGTGCACACACCCTATAGCAGAACCCTCCCCCAAAAAAAGATGTATTTTAACTTTATTATTATTTTCCAATTTGATGAGAGAGAGAGAGAGAGAGAGAGAAAGTGAGAGAGCAAGCCACCAGGTCCAGGATTTGAACCACCAATCAGTCAGGTAGGAGTCCAGTGCCTTTAGCCACCATGCTACTTGCCTTCCATTCTCCTCTTAGGATCTTGGACACGCGTTTGATGTGAGTTTTAAGCTGCCGGGTCCGGGACGCGAACCGCGGTCGACTACATGGGAGCCCAGCGACGTAGCCATTACGCTAACTGCTGGTCCCACCATGAATCACTTTTTAAATAAAGTATAAATAGGGGACCAGCAGTTAGCGTAATGGCTACGTCGCTGGACTCCCATGTAGTCGACTGTGGTTCAAGTGTCAGACCCGGCGGCCTAAACTCACGCTGGGCGCATGCGCGCGTGCGCCCAAGACCCAGAGAGGAGAATGGAGGAGAAGGGATTGCGACGTGACCATCCCCCCTGGGGGGTGATTTCTCGCTTTCTGTCTCTATGTCTCTCTGTCTGTCTGGCAAGCACACGCGCCCTATAGCAAAAAAAACTCTCCAAAAAAAAAAAAGAAAAATCCTCAAATTGCAGGGGACCTAGTTATAGTAATTACCAAGGCGTTCTCCTCTTTCTTTCTTTTTAATTTTTTTTTATTCTGATTTGACCAGAGAGGGACAGAGTGAGAGCGAGAGAGAAAGCTGCCAGGTCTGGGGCTCGAACCGTGGTTGGCCATGTGGGAGTCCAGTGCCACACACCACACCACCCGCTGGCCCCCATGGGGAGTTTGTTGCCAAGTGTTTTGGTTTTTAAATAATTTGCTAGATGGTGTGTGTGCTTGCTGGAGGGAGACTGAGAAGTGAAAGAGCACCCACGAGAGGTTAGGGAAAGGTGGCCACACTACAATTCCTTCTCCTTCATTCTCCTCTTGTGATTTAGGGCACACAAACACAACCAGTGTTTTTCAAGTAGCAGGTCTGGACTTGAACCACACTCTGCCATGTAGGATCCAGCTGCCTTGGCTATTATCTTCCTGGCTGGCCCATCATTACTTTCTTTTCATTTTCTTTTAAAATTTGTGTTGGGGGTGGGGGAGAACGGCAGGTGGCATGGCAGTTAAGGGCACTATACTTCCACATGGTTGACTTGTCTTTTGAGTCCTGGACCTTGCAGCTTGCTTTCTCACTTTCCTTCTCTCTCACTCTATCCCTCTCTGGTCAAATTAAAATAAATTAAGCTTTTTTTTTTCTTTTTTTTTTTTTGCTATAGGGCGTGTGTGCTTGCTGGAAAGACAGAGAGACAGAAAGTAAGAAATCACCCCCACAGAGGGGATGGCCACACTGCAATCCCTTCTCCTCTCAGGATCTTGGGCACGCACGCACATGTGCCCAGAGTGAGTTTAAGCCATCTGGTCCAGGACTCAAACTGCGGTTGGCTACATGGGAGTTCAGAGACACAGCCATTACGCTAACTGCTGATCCCAAAGTAAGCTTTTGTTATGGGGTACATAAGCTTGTCAGAGAGAGAAAGAGAGCAAAGCGATGGTGCACCTTAATCCTTCCTCTTTCTCCTCTTGGGATTTTGGGCACACACATTTGCCTGGTGTGATTTTCAAACCACTAGGTCTGGGACTTGAACCACACAGTCGGCCATGTGTGATCCAGCATTTTATCCTTCACACCACCTGCTGGTACCATTGCCAAGTTTTTAATAGGCTCTGTATGATATAAAATTCTATCCAAAAACCTGGCCAGTAGGTAATGTGGAGGTTAAGGCAGTTGGATTCCACAGAAAACTCTGGTTCAAGTCCTGGACCCAGCTGTTTGGAAATTATGCTAGGCGCAATGGTGCCCAAATATCTGGAGAGGAAAAATGCACGAGGAATTGTAGCCTGAAGTGAGGTGATTTTTCACTTTCCCTCTCTCCATGTTTCTCTCTCCAGTGAGCACTGCCTTAGAATAAAAACCTGGAGAGGAGAATGCAAAGGGATTGTTGTGTGGAAACTCACCCTAGAGCAAAAACTAAAAACCAAAATAACCTACCAGAATACAAAAGCTGATTTATTCTACCTTGTTCTTCCCAACATTACATTTTCAATTCAACAGAGCTTACTAGGTTAACTCTCCACCAACCCCTATGGAAAACTGGTACAATTTCTGGAAAACTTAGCAGGTACAAAACCTTATGGTTCTTCCAGTATAGCTGTTTTATTCTGTCTCAGATTCTTGAATTTCCAAAGTTTCCATTAGCAACTAAGGTACAATTGTTAAAAGTTACATAGAATGAACAAGCAGATAAAAATAGCAAAAACAGATGACCAGAACTTACAATCGGACCTTCAGTTCTTTACTGGGAATTTTCCACAATACCACCACTAAAAATAAATTTTCATTCTCATTCAGAAGCAATCCATTACTGTTTTTCCTGGTTTTGGCATGTGTCAACAGAGCTTCCACTGCCTTTCTTATCTGTAGGGAGAAACAGAAGTTAAAATATTTCGATCTATTATAGCATTTGCTCGCTGAAACCGCTTCTAAAACTCGTTTACACAACAGCGTCCCTTCTGTGTTAAGAGACTAGGCCAGATGGAAAAGCGCCCCCTGCGCGCGCGAACACAGTAACCCCAACAAAAGAGAAACACAAACCGGAGTACCATTTACCGCGCGCGTACTTACTAAACGTGCCAAGACCCTTTGCAACGAGCTTTACAACCTCCTGTGGTCTCGGAGGGCAGATGGGCCCATTTTAAGGAACAGGTAATTGAGACTTGCAAAATTAAGTGATCTGGCCAAGGCAGTAACGGTAGAAGCAAGCCAGGTCGGTTACGCTCCCCAAACCCCGGGCTGTACTTGCAATCCAAACTGAGCCTGACCGCAGCACTGGGAAGA